AAAAAAAAAAAAAAAAACTCCCTTTTGTCTCTTTTCATAAATAAAAATATTTTGGGTTTTGTTGACATAAAGTCATCAAATGTGAAATAAAGAAATCTCATTTTATCTTTAAAAAAAAAGAAAAAAGGAGCAGATATGATTGAGTGAGCCCCAGAATAATTCTGCATCTTGGTCTGTACCTTTCACTGTATGAGGCCTCTGGTATCCATCAGAGTTACAGCCTGGATGGATGGATGTGTGACGGCTGGATGGAGGATTTAGGAGGGGATTGCCAATGCCCTGAGGATAAAGCAAGAGGGACCTAACAAACCCTTTGCCCTCCCCCTGTTGACTCCCCAGAGGCCCTATTATACACCTCTGGAGTGGGGGGGGCAGGGATGCGCACACACATGCATAAAAACATGCACGCTTCTACTTATCCCCAAACACTCCTCCTCTGGCACACAAATAAAAATCCATCGGGGCCCGTTCTTTGACATTGATTTGTTTTTCTTCGCCCTTCCTCTCCCCCCATCATTTTTTCATCTCTCCTGTAGCTCGAGTTAGACTCCCCACTGATCCCCCCCCCCAGCCTCAGCTGAGGAGCAGGACTGACAGTGGAGGGGGCATCTTTCAGAGAAATAGAGATGAGACGGGGGGAGGAAGGCATGGAGGGGAGAAAGATTGACTTGCTGGCTGACGATGGAATGCTTCGCTCCCATCCCCGCTGTCCTGCTCCCACACATAGATCAGCAGCTGCCAGAATCAATATGAATCATAACCAATATTTGCCCACCGTCGCTGAACTTCAATCATCTCCCCAAGTGATTCAGTGAAGAATTGCAGCTGCATCACTTTGCACAAAAAAACAAAACAAAACACAGCCACCTTTAGCGATCTAGAACTGAGACGCTTTCTGCTTCCTCTCTGTCCTGCGTAGACTTCGAAGAGCCGGAGGATCCATCAACACGCTCCTTTTTCTCCGAAATTATCTCCTCCATCTCCGATGTTAAGTTCAGCCACAACGGGCGCTACCTGATGACAAGGGACTACCTCACTGTCAAGGTGTGGGACCTCCAGATGGAGAACAAACCACTGGAAACCTACCAGGTGACGTATTTTTCTTCTCCATCCTCCCAGCAAGGCAGAGGCGCAGTAACCAATGTACACTAACGGATGGCCAAAGCAGGTAGACGCCAGAAAGTCGCGGTCAATCTACACTGTTCCAAAAGGAAAATGAAAAACCACAACAACAATTTCAAGACTAACTATACTTTCCTGCAGCCTTTGCCAACAAATAGACACGTATTTTAGCAGCCGTTCTGTCTAAATGAAAAGTCCAGGCTTGAGTTCTCAGGCGAACATCTTATTCATTGTCTTACCGACTTTTATCTATGATCGTTCTGCATAAAATAAATATTTACATCTACTAATATCTACATTAAATGGATTACTTATTGTTAAAGTAGTTATTTATTTCTGATTTCACTGAAGATTCATAGATGACTTGCAGAGACATAATTTTCTGTTTACCCCATAAGACAAAATCCAGTTCTGAAAAGAGGATGAATTTGGTCTTTCTCATCTTTAATGATAGTATATTGCTGTGCATAATTAACTGCAGTGTTTTTGTTGTTAAGTTACGTATGAAAAATAAAATGTTAAATAAGTTAGAACATTCTACTTGAGAGTATTTCTGCTGCCGAACTGCAAAAACGATCCAGAAATAAGTACAAATTTCTTAAATTAAGTGTATTTACCCTTAATTTGAGTAGGTAAATATGGGGATTTGCCAATGAAATTAGTATCTTTACTCTTAAAATATGATAATTAGATAATATGAACTTGACATTAGACAATGAATTTTTTTTTTATTTATTTTAAATGTAAATTGTCTTGTTCTATTGGCAAAGTCTCTCACTTTCGTCCTCAATTGGAGAAAAAATGCACTTACTTTAAGAAAAAATTGCTTACCTAGATTTCCATTTTTTGCAGTGGAAAAAATGGTAGGGGTTCCCAAAGGGGGGGCCAATGATTGGCCAAGGGTGGCCATGGCCACCCCTGGCCCCCCATCTAGCCCGACCCCTGCAGCTAGGAGCTCAACCTCGACTTAGATCGAAACAAAACTGATTGATTTGAAGATAATCAATCAGGATAATACTGTTTCTCCATCGCTCTGCTGGTCTGTAACTTCGTCATCTTCAACAATTAGAGGCCATATTGAATCAAGTACCTATTAGAGGAAAGTGTTGGTAGAGAAACAGCCTGAAGGAAAGAACCTCCCACCATGTGGTCAGATCCACCCTGTCTGATCCTGTGGCGGGTCATGATTGATAGGGTCATCAGGGGAGTTCTTCCTCCTCCCGCTGCCTAACATCTTAGCATAGATCACCAGAGCCAGAGGATTAGTGAGCGTGCAGCTTAAGGCAGGGGAGCTGAGGGTTTTCTGATGTAAGACGTTTTCTCACGAGAATCTAAATTGTTTTTCTTCAGGTCCACGACTACCTGAGGGGCAAACTCTGCTCTCTGTATGAGAACGACTGCATCTTTGACAAGTTCGAGTGCGTCTGGAACGGATCGGACAGGTGAGACGTTTCATTCGATCGTCAAAGAGCTCAGTCAGGCGAATCCATGCGGAAATCATTGTGACCCTCATCTTGATTTTTCTTTTCCTTCTCATTAAGCGTCATAATGACCGGTTCCTACAACAATTTCTTTCGAATGTTTGACCGGAACACCAAACGGGACGTCACGCTGGAGGCGTCCAGAGAGAACAGCAAACCTAGAGCTATTCTGAAGCCTCGAAAGGTACGTCACTGCGTATAAAGCTGGTAAAGATTCTCAGT